CACAATTCAGTTAACTTTAGAGCACATTTATGTGACTTGTGAGGGAAAGGCTACCTGATTTTAGAGAAAAATAATTTGCAAACAGCCCAAGAGTGAATCAAATGTTACATCGAGTTGATAGCCTCATATGTACACCCAAAAACTGGTAATCATCTTCGATCACATTTAAGAGCCATAATAGCTCTTGATCACCGTAGATTAATTAGTGGAAAAAAAAATCGTTTGACAAGTTTACTTTGCAAAATCTTGTCAACAAAACTGGGTGCGTGTAAACCAACCTTTTATACCATTTATACATCACATCTGAGGTGAAACAGTAGTATGAGGCACTGTTGTTATCATACCGGCAGACCTTGGACAGAAAGCAGTATTTCACAATACAAATTGCACTCATTCAATATTCATAAACTGTTAAAAAATTTCCAAAATCACCTATACGGCCATCCGGTTCTCACTTTTTTGTAGTGCGAGCTGTGGCGAGTGTTTGAATGAACATTAACAGAGTTACGCTCCAACATTATAAAGAATTTACTCTGTTTATTTTTTATTTAATGGTTTATTAACGTGCGACATTTTGAGTACTCCTGCAAGCGATGTTCACTGAACGACTGAAAACAATCGGCACAGCGATTAAAATTACAAGAGAGACTACTAACAATCAATAAAAGAAACATAATTCCGTGAAACATATACAGAAACAACAATTTTCAACCAGGAAGACAAGTATTAAAGTATCCCCAAAAATCCTGAGTCTTCAAGCTTCAAGCTTAAGTTTATGTTTTAAGCCGGCTTCCCGGTGTTTGCTTTTTTCAAAGACGAACTCGAGGCAAGAAAATCGCTCAAAGCTTTCTTTTCCGGCCAGAATTATAACTAAATATTCTTTGGAACGTTTTCTTTCTATTTGCGGTGAGAAACTGTCTAAAGGCTTTTTAAAGTTCTGTAAGCTTATATCAAACCAGATACTCGGTCAGATCATTGTCTCAAATCTTACAAACGTGCATAAACTAAATGACCGCATAAACTCCGCTCGACTTCATTAAATTAGATCCAAAAAAACAAACATCACATACAATAATTTCTCTGGCTTACCATTTGAGATGCAGCTCCTGAAAGGTATCAAGAAAAGCCAGTATCGCTTCAGACTTTGCAATCCTCTTACGCATCAAGCAAGGTGAAAACGAAAACGATGCCATCCGAAATCGGACTTCCGACTTTGACAAGCCACGTATTCCTCAACCAAAAACCCAATAAACAAACTAGACATGAATAACAGAGGACTCCTGATAGCAGCTGAATTTCATTTTGCACATCCAGTGGAAAAAGACAGTTAAAAACATCACAAGTTGACACAAAACTCTGTCAGCTTCAGCTGTCAAAGTAAACAAGATTCAAGATGCTGCATAAATTTTCCGCATGAACTCACCTGTCAAATTTTTACCAATCAGAGCATAAAAATTGGACGTAGAGCGTGACCAACGCGTGACCATGGTGAGAAAAGTCAAAAGCAACTGTCTTCCCTGCCTGTAACAGCTGGCTGAATTTTCGCGTCCGAGGTCAGTTTGCAATCAAAATTTTAATTGTGTAGCACATAAACATAACATATTTCATATGAATTTAGAAAAAAAACTTGAACTTGAGCCTGCGATCACTTGAAAACTAGTAACTTGTCAGCGGATAACTTCAAAAAAATACTTGACCTCGATGGGTCAACACCTGAGCCTGTGATACGGTCAAGTGATACTTTCAGCGGGTACCCTGTTTTGACAGCTGTCAATTGATCAACACATTGATGTCCAATACACCGAATGCAAATATGGCGGATCTCTCGGTCGGCCCGGGTCTAGTTGCGCGAAAGCGAGGCTAGTGAGGCCTCGACGATTTTGTTTTGACTGCGCGTCTTAGCGATTCAGTCGATCAATATGGTTTGCTTCGAGTTGTTACGTGCTTAAGAGCCATCAAAGAGGAGATTTAACTCCAGCAGAGACGCCCCAGACGAAAGTTTATTATCTTCGCTTTGGCACGGTTCCTTACCAAGAAAGAAATGGATTAAAGCGATTCGGCGCGGCGAATGGAGGCACTTTACTATCATGGAGTTTAAAAATAAAAGAACGAAAGTGTGCTCGCTTCCCTTCAGAAGAGAAGACTCACGAAACTATTAGAATGGGTGAATAACAGAGAGATTCATGGTTCTGTTTCAAGTTTGCTTTCTCCGTTCTCTTACCAAGGAAAGCTAAATATCCTCGAGAACGAGTGAGTCCGCCGTCGCGACTTACAAATCTTACGGCGCTCTCAGGGACACAACGACATACAACAAGGCCGAATGTTTTCACAGTCTTCACGATCCTGTGTTCAAGAGTTTGAGCAGTGCCATAAAAGAAGCAATTTTTGGAAAATCGCTGTTAGTTTATCTCGAAACCATTCGACAAGTTGCTAAAATAAATCACGCGCAAGGTCAAATACAATGCTCGAATACTTGCACGCTCTTTCTCTGCCAGAACCT